ACACGTTTATATCATAGTTTTGTCCCACTAGGTATATACCTAGGTAAGTAACAGACACACACGTTTATATCATAGTTTTGTCCCACTAGGTATATACCTATGTAAGTAACAGACACACACGTTTATATCATAGTTTTGTCCCACTAGGTACACACCTATGTAGGTTTATTCTCTATCCACTCCCTATACTTGAAGCCTTACTATTGGTGGGATGTTGCTTGCAATGATTTATTTCAGTTCTATGTGAAACTGAACTATATCGTCAAGATACATGATACCTATAAGTTAGACCCAAATTATCCACCTCATCAATTCATTCTGTAAGTTTTAAAGAGATAAGCAGGTACATGTAAAACCCGTTGTGATCTTCAATTATTCAGTAAATATCTGTTGAAGAAATCTCCAAACATCCATCTATAACCATTGCACAGTGTTTTCTCTGAATAAGCTGCACTTCGATTTGTTTTATCAATTAATGCATTAATGGAAATAAAAATGCATTATTCTCTCTATACATTACATTATCGACTTTTCTACACCACGTGATCGTTGCACAGTCTCGCCATCAAAAAGACTGTCCTCACTGCCGGAGAGGACGCCTGAGGGAGGCCGGGAGGGGTTATTGGGAGTGTCTGGGAGGAGGACGTATTCCTCGTGGCTCGGCTCGGACCCTGTGCTGTGCCATATTCCATAGGAAAAGTAAATGAGGAAACCTGTAAGGAAATGCAGAGTGCTAGGATAGGGTTTTAGTGTACACATACAGGTATTTGAAAAGGGAAGGAATATAAGGAAATCGTTTATCTTACAAAACTGTTTTTGCTATTTGGTGCATGATATCTAGAGCGTGTATGTGTGCTTTTTATTATTTTTTGTCATGATATAACTTGCGATTATGGGACAGTCTGATTCCATGAATTCAGCATAAGTAAACAAAGAATAAACGAAGAATAAACGAAGATTAAACGATTGAAAACAGTTACGAAACCGCAAATGCAATACTATGCAAATTAATGCATTTCTTAAGTGTGAAAATGACCAGTGTGGAATCTACGAGCGCGAAAAATAACACAGTGTGCTGTATATAACACAATGAGAAAAAAAGCACAACGCGAAATCTGATAACTTTGCAGTATTTTTCTCATGTATTCCCTGTTTAGAGTTCATATATACACATGTATATATAAAAGGTGTCCAGAATCTCTTAAAATTATGTCATGTGTCAAAAAGCTGCTTAAAAAATTTCTCATCAATTTTTTTGAACACCTACTACAAAATCCACCAGAATGCTTTTGAAATTGTCCAGTTAATTCCGAATACAAAGTTCCCTTTTCAAGAACCTGTGGTTTTGTACATATAATGTGAATGTATATAAATGTTTATAAATTAGCTGATACTGTTGATAGCTAAAACGTGCCATTATATAACGTAAAGAGTGGTAATTATCTCAACATTACCATAAAACTATTGGACTTATAGATGCTAATAATAGCAAACGAAAGTATTAACATGCACCAGGTTTTTTTTTATATATAAAAACAATTTATTAAAAAGGACAGTTTTATTTAAAAAGAAGCTATTGTACTTTTAGATAAAACAGGCTAGAGAACAAGGGTTGGGCCTATATATGTGTTTAATCTGAGTAGTTACGCGTTCTTTCTTTTACCAACAATAATTGCTTATTTACTCGTTTCCAGTAATAGATTTCCTACCACTTCAACTTTTGTTAATGAATGGGTGCTGCTATGAGAGAGCCATTTGTTTGCACATTTATATGACAGAAAAAACGCTTGTATTAACAAAATCTACATAAGTATTCATAGCTACGACTGACACATCCAGTCATTATAATGGTTCATGGCATTCAATACTTGCATGGAGACATATTTCCGCTTTGCATAAAGATTTGTCATGTTTGAATAATATCAGAATATCAAATGTTTTAGAAGCCATTTACTTACTTAGAGTACTTTTTATTAGGCCTGATTTACTATATATACAGACAGCTGTATGGTCGACTTAAGGAAATGACTCATTCTTTTTACCCTCGGCCATATTCATATGTTTCGACTGTTTTATATATCATACCCTGATATCAGATTGTTATTTTCATTTATACATAGGTTCATTATATATTGCAATTTCTCACAAGGACTTTGATGACCCTATATGTACCATATAATCAGTTAGGTGCATGTTGGCTATACTAGCATGGATCGGAAAGGAGCTTCTAGCTTAGGGAAATACATAGATTATCCTAGCTTACCTATAAACATCCAAACTCCAAACCGGATCCAGGTAGCGCTAGAGAGCTTTAGCATTAGGTAGATATTGACAAACACACTCAACACTGGTAACATGGGCAGCAGCGGCACCTACAACACAACGTTTACTGTAACCAGTGGCATCTACAACACAATGTTTACTGTAACCAGTGGCATCTACAACACAATGTTTATTGTAACCAGTGGCATCTACAACACAACGTTTTCTGTAACCAGTGGCATCTACAACACAACGTTTTCTGTAACCAGTGGCATCTACAACACAACGTTTACTGTACCCAGTGGCATCTACAACACAACGTTTACTGTACCCAGTGGCATCTACAACACAACGTTTACTGTAACCAGTGACCCCTACAACACAACGTTTACTGTAACCAGTGGCATCTAGAACACAACGTTTACTGTAACCAGTGGCATCTAGAACACAACGTTTACTGTAACCAGTGGCATCTAGAACACAACGTTTACTGTAACCAGTGGCATCTACAACACAATGTTTATTGTAACCAGTGGCATCTACAACACAACGTTTACTGTACCCAGTGGCATCTACAACACAACGTTTACTGTAACCAGTGGCACCTACAACACAACGTTCACTGTAACCAGTGGCATCTACAACACAATGTTTATTGTAACCAGTGGCATCTACAACACAACGTTTACTGTAACCAGAGGCATCTACAACACAACGTTTACTGTAACCAGAGGCATCTACAACACAACGTTTACTGTAACCAGAGGCATCTACAACACAACGTTTACTGTAACCAGAGGCATCTACAACACAACGTTTACTGTAACCAGTGACCCCTACAACACAACGTTTACTGTAACCAGTGGCATCTACCACACAATGTTTACTGTAACCAGTGGCACCTACAACACAACGTTCACTGTAACCAGTGGCATCTACAACACAATGTTTATTGTAACCAGTGGCATCTACAACACAACGTTTACTGTAACCAGTGAAAGTATCCGCTTGTTTCACCTTAAATCTGACGCTTTTTAAATATTTCTGGCTGACTGAGTAGAGAACCAGAGATGGTGTCAAAGCCACCCAATGCTCGCCTGTTTAAAAAATTATCGTCTTTAAAAATGTGTTTGTTTATTGGGGTTTAGTGTCCCTTTAACTCATGTATAGGTCATATTGAGATGGTGTCTGCTTGTGACAGGTAGACATATGGTGACTTTATAGTGCTGTCTCACTGAAATATCATGGCGCACACACATTGACACGATACTTCACTCGGTCACATTATCCTTAGCAGGGAGTGAGAAGATTGCCTTATTTTAATGTCTTAGGTTTTGACCCGACCTAGATTTGATCCCGTGACTGTGGATTCTAGCACCGGTCTACCAGCATGAAGCGAGTGCCGTTACTACTACAGAGAAGTCTTATTCTATTTTATTTTTTATAAACCATTGCAGTCAAGTCTGACCCAAATAATATTAAATCAATATATATTTCTATAAATATGATATTGCCATCAGTAAATGCTATATGAGTAGATAAAAAAATTAGAAAATATTGTTCGTAATGCTGATATGATCTTAAAATGTAAAGATCAAAATTTAAAAGTAAATGTATCTTTGCTACACAAAAAGTATAGCCCAAAGAAACATTCATGGCAAATATCAGCATCCTTGTACACATATTGAATGAATGGCAAGCTTCTAAATACTTTAACGTTGATGGCTAAAAAAATGTAAGGTTCAAAACAGGTCAAAAGTCTTAAAGATTTGGAAATTATTTTTAATTTTTTTAAATTTACTTGATCAATATTTTACCCCACAGGAATCTCTATGCAAAATATCAGTATCCTACTACACACATTTAATGAATGACAAGCTTCTAAATAACTTGCAGGTAAAACTTAAAACATTTTCACACTGACGCTCATGCCTGGGGTATCGCTATAGCTCTCTGTTCTTCGAACAGGCGAACTAAAAACGAGGATGGAAGGAAATGAGACTCACATTTTTTCTTCGAAACTAACTTTGAGTATCATCTGGCCCTATTTGGACCGAAATATTGAGGAAGAGAATGGTCAAGACTGAAATTGTCATTTCTTACCTTGAAGCTGACTTTTTGAGTATTTTCTGGTTGAACACGGATTGAGTAGAGGAGGATGAGGATGGCGAGGACCAACAGTGTAACAAGTGTAATAGCCCACCACTCTACGTTGGCAAGGTTTTCCTCCGCAAAGATTAGCACAAGACTGAGAACTATTATAATCATACCTGAAAACAATATAACTACAATGTATACGATAATGGGGGGTCAATTTCAACGTAAGATCAATCATTCTAAACTATACTATCAGGTAGATACTTCCAATTTAAATACTGCAGGGAAAATGTAACTCGCCAGACCACGCCACGATCTAAAGAAATCTAAGACTCAGGAAGCAGCTCATATAGAAATAAAGACACAATAAAGTTATAAAATTTGTGCTCATATCACATTGAATACTAAAACTGAGATTGGCTTCTTGCATTGTTAGGGTAATTTTTGTATTTGTTTTCTCTGATCAGAATATTGCAGTATTTAGTTCACAATTTCTGTCCACACTAAAAAATTATGATTGCAATGAAAAGGTGAAAATATACATTTGTCTGTTTTTTAACCAAACAATGTGATAAACATGTACAATGCACGCCAATACATCATAGACAGTGTGTTTTGCATAAAGAGTTTTGTCGGTAACTAATCGTTATGACCGATTCATTTTGATGTTAAATAACTGAGCAGCAATGTCACAAACATCTACTTACATATACAAATAATATTGAATTGGGCTATTTTTTCTGTGAATACTGTAGGCTCAGATTCGTCGCACTTCATCATTGCTTTGAGCCAGTCTTTGTAGCTGGCATCTCCTACTAAAGGGTCGGACTCATTGACGGGGCTTTTTCTGCGAGTCATAACATCACTATCGTCACTGCTACCTTGATTGATGCTGTCACTGAAACAAAAACAAAATTCCTCATGAAAGAATTGCAAAACAAGAGGCCCAGAGGGCCTGTATCGCTCACCTGAATATTTAAGCAGTCATAGAAAAATATTCTCATTAAATATTTCATACTGAACTACAAATATTCCACTCCAAACTTTGTTGGCTCCATCTGTTGAAACTACCAGCCATATTATATGATTTTATGCTTTTTGGTTCTTCTTCAGAAGTTGTTTGAAGTGTTTGACATATTTGTCCCTGTGACCCTTGAAAGAAGGTCAAGGTCATTTTCCTTCTCAAACTTTATCGGCTCTATCCCAAGAAGCTACAAACCAAATATCATGACTTTAGGCCTGTCCACTCTTCATGATCAGAAGACGTTGTTTCAAGGAAAAGTTGACAAATGACGATTGATGGAAGATGGTCGAGTGACAGACGCCGCGCTATGACATAAGCTCACTTGCCCTTTGGGCAATCAATTTTTGTTTTGGAATGTGAAAGATTTAACAATCCTTGTTTCTGCGGAATGAAGTGTTTTTGTATGCCCATGCAGCAGCAAACAATAATATTAAGTGATGTATCTGTCTAAACATAATCAGTTGGACTTACACTTTTGCTTTTAAGTAATAAAATACAAATCCCAGAAGCGATTACATTTTGCAGTTATAATAGTTCAGGACCGAAGTGATACTTATCTTGAAACAATTACGGACTTGAAAAATGGGCAGAATTACTTTCTTACAAAGATAATGGAAAACAAACTCTTCAGGAACGTAGTTGACTTACCTGTCGTCTGCATCAGTTGAAGTTTTCATAACTTTCACACGATATCTGAAAACAAAATTGACATTCTATATTTCAGGAAATTTAAATAAGCTGAAAGTAGTTATTTTTTGTATAATTCAATACATTTTAATCATTTAATTTTCAATTATGAAGCAAGTTATAGTTGGCCTGGATGAAGCGCATTGAAAGTATTTACAGTATGTTGGAGGAAAACTGGAGTATCTGAAGAAAACAACCTGGTCGGCAGGTTACTAATTATCAATTCATGATATATCAGCTATTCAAACTCAACAGAATCGCCCTGAATAGTAGACAAGTACCTACCTCAGCAGTAACACACAAACTCCCACTAAAGTGTAGGCTAGGAGGGTTCCTATAGACATCATGTCCACCAGCTCCGACAGGTCAAACATCATGGCCATCACACCTAAACCATTTTCATGTCAGTGAATTACAATTTTGAAGACCTTTCCTCATTAATTTTCTTCCATGAATTTTTTTCTTTCGTTTTAGCTTTAGCCCTTATCTATATTAGGCTTATGATATCAAAGTTTTACTTTCTTCACAATCAATGTACGTATTAAACGTGTCGCAACATTTCAAAACTGAATGGTCCCTTTGTCAAGGTATGACTGGGTGAGCGATTTATATTTTTTACCTGTACAACGATGTGACGAAATTGTATATATACTATATCACTCGACCCGGGACGTTTCGCCTATCTATCAAGGGAGCGTATATATACACACTGCATCAGATAGGTTACAGGTAGGGTGTGAATCTAGCTCCTCCCCTGTTATGTCAGTATCGGGTAATACAGATGACTCAGCTGGTGTCCCCCCTCGTCTCTGTTCATGTTCTGAATTTTTCTGATTTTTATTGCTTTCTTTGATTTGTCTCGTTTTTGTGTGTTATTCCCTTTCAACGATCTTGGCATTGTCCCGGTCGACGTTGTGACTTTGGGTGTTAGCGTGATCTGTTAATGCCGTTTCTTGTACTGGGTCGCAGATGTCAGTCTTGAAACGTTGCAACACATTTAATACGTACATCATTTTTGTAGAAAGTAAAAATTTGATATCACATATTTCCAAACTGAAGAATCTTTTTGAAGACATAAGGCTTATGTATTATTCTGGTTTTGTTTTTTCTAAAACGTTTGCAAATTCAACAGTTTGCAATCAGAGGTGCTGGAATTTTAACTTTACTAAACATGCCTGTCTGGAGGTGTAGTTTAATATTTCTCGAGTTTAGTTTTAAAATTGTCATACAAATATGCTGAAAAATATTTTGTAATCTGAATACGAAGTAGTAAAATAGAAAAAGAAAATGTGAAAAATCATTTTAGTCTTTTTGATTTTCCATCTTTACGTCTTATCTTGCTGTAATCGTGTGATCTTTGTATAGCTTATATTTCCAACATACCTGCAAACACTCCAGATATCGCAGTGGCCATCAATGGTGTTTTGAAGCGGTCACTAATGTTTGCTAGAGACCGGAACAAAATGCCATCACTGGCCATGGCATAGATAACTCTGGGCAGCGGAAACATGGCTCCGAGTAAACTGTGGATAGAACATTATACTTTGTGTGTATGTTACCTCATATTTCTTCATTTAGCTTTCATCAGTTTTTTCTCTTTTCAGGAAGACAGTACAGAAAAAAGAAGCAGGCCAATAAGAGAAATGAGAAAGACTTTTCAGAGCAAAAACAATTGTCTTTAATTGAGTCAAACATAATGTATATCCTGGAGCAGGGGCTAAGGGGAGATAATCTCACACATATATATATTACATGTTGCATAATATTGTTTTAAACAAGATCAAAAACTTTAATTTCAGAAAGAATTGAAGCCTTGTTTCCATAGTTTGGTCAGTAAAATACGAACACTGGAGCAGTTTGGTCAGTACAAATACGAACACTGGAGCAGTTTGGTCAGTACAAATACGAACACTGGAGCAGTTTGGTCAGTACAAATACGAACACTGGAGCAGTTTGGTCAGTACAAATACGAACACTGGAGCAGTTTGGTCAGTACAAATACGAACACTGGAGCAGTTTGGTCAGTACAAATACGAACACTGGAGCAGTTTGGTCAGTACAAATACGAACACTGGAGCAGTTTGGTCAGTACAAATACGAACACTGGAGCAGTTTGGTCAGTACAAATACGAACACTGGAGCAGTTTGGTCAGTACAAATACGAACACTGGAGCAGTTTGGTCAGTACAAATACGAACACTGGAGCAGTTTGGTCAGTACAAATACGAACATTGGAGCAGCTTGGTCAGTACAAATACGAACACTGGAGCAGTTTGGTCAGTACAAATACGAACACTCAGGAGCAGAGCATCTGGCTCTGTAATCCACTATTGCTAGAAACCTGATGCAGGTCATCTATTTCAGTATTGATCCAAATGATCATAATTTAATTAATCTAAATTAGAAAACTATAAATGTTGAGCAAAGGAAATTAAAAATCAATTTGAAAAATGTAGCCAGGCATTCCATATCTTTAAACAAAATAAAGAAATAAATATTTCAGATATCCTTCCTTAAAGAGACTGAGCTCCATTAAGGTCTATGTCACGTGCTGAAGTAATTTTTATAACTGACATAAATTTGGAAAGAAAAACAAGAAACATATAAAGAAATTATGTTGTTGTGGCCTTAAAGATGGTAATTAACATACACACCTAAGACTGCCATACATGTAAGTCAGTTCAGACGATAACATACCACAAAACTTTTGTTGGTTTTGTCTTTAACTGGCAAAGTATATGTTATACAACTAGAACCTGGACTACAATTCAGTAGCTAAAGGTACACACATATCATAAGTCAGTGCATTATGCATATTAAATTGTACATTTTTCAGACCTCACATCAACCTTTATAAGTACATCTTTCAGACCTAACATCAACCTTTATAAGTACATCTTTCAGACCTAACATCAACCTTTATAAGTACATCTTTCAGACCTAACATCAACCTTTATAAGTACATCTTTCAGACCTAACATCAACCTTTATAAGTACATCTTTCAGACCTAACATCAACCTTTATAAGTACATCTTTCAGACCTAACATCAACCTTTATAAGTACATCTTTCAGACCTAACATCAACCTTTATAAGTACATCTTTCAGACCTAACATCAACCATTATAAGTACATCTTTAAGACCTAACATCAACCTTTATAAGTACATCTTTCAGACCTAACATCAACCTTTATAAGTACATCTTTCAGACCTAACATCAACCTTTATAAGTACATCTTTCAGACCTAACATCAACCTTTATAAGTACATCTTTCAGACCTAACATCAACCTTTATAAGTACATCTTTCAGACCTCACTTTAACTTTTAACACCAAACAAAATCTAAAATTAAGCCAGCTGTATTCTTGCCCGTTGAACAAGCGTTAAGATGATGTAGTTGTCCCAGATTACATACATACCTAGTAGAGAGACCACAAATTGCCCCGACCGCTATGATGTATCTAGCCACGCCCCAACCAACGCGGTCAAACACATCTGGGAGAGGCGCATCCTCATCCAGTAGGTAATACGGACACATCAGAGTCATAACAGCCGATATTCCAAAGTAGGCAAAAAAGATGGCTATCAGGGACACGACAATACTAATAGGGATAGCTTTCTGCGGGTTCTTTACCTCCTCCCCTGTAAAACAAATAAATTACTGGGGTGAAAACCTTATAGAGATATACCGATAAACAAATTAACTGGAGAGCAGTAAACAGACAGACAGACAGACATACGTCACAGTGATGCATAGATATGTATGTCTATGTATGCATCAACGAAATGCGACAAATCAATGGTTTAATGAATAAATAAATGAAAATAATTATAAATTCATTATAACTTTCTGAATCAATGGAAAGCCATGAATATTCATGACTGAAAATCCAGAGGATGTCTAAAAGACATTCACATTTACTTGGTACTTTATATTAGTACAAATTGATTTTATCGCAATCCTGTCATGAAATGAAAGGACTTAGACATGATGCTTCAGCATAAAGTTTTTCTATTTGCAATATAAGTTACAGTGATCAATCTATAATTTATTTTCATGGGTCCAGTTAAATGAATGCAAGAGTACATGACTATACACAGTAACTTAACATTACCTGTTGTAGCTATACAGTCGAACCCAACAAAAGCATAAAAACAGGTGGCTGCCCCAGACATCATCCCCGAAAAACCGAACGGCATAAATCCTCCACTTCCAGACACTGTAGCATTTCCAGGAATCTAGAAATATACAAGTGAACAGTATTTAACAAGCAAGGCAAATAACTGCAGCATCATAACAGGTACAGTACTGGGCCACCATTACAGGCCTGGGCCACTGTTACAGGCCTGGGCCAATGTTACAGCCCTTGGCTGCTTTTATAGGCCTGGGCCACCATTACAGGCCTGTGCAGTAGCTGTTATATACCCGGGCCACTGTTACAGGCCTGGGCCAATGTTACAGCCCTTGGCTGCTTTTATAGGCCTGGGCCACCATTACAGGCCTGTGCAGCTGTTATATGCCCGGGCCACCGTTACAGGCCTGGGCCACTGTTACAGCCCTTGGCCGCTTTTATAGGCCTGGGCCACCATTACAGACCCGGGCCACCATTACAGACCAACATGGCCACCGTTACAGGCCTAGCTCCACAGTTACAGCCTTGGTCTGCTGTTACAGACCAGGGCAACTCTGACAGAGTTAAAATTGATCTATTCAGTATCAACAGCAGGGTATCTATGTATAATACATTGATCTATATCATCTAAGTTATTTCTTGTTGTTTATGTTTTTGTTTTGTAAATAAATGTGAGTCAGCATTCTGTACATACCTCTGAGGGCTTAAGCTGCCAGTTGTGTACATCGACCTTGAACATCCCACAAATGATCACGTAGGTCACCACCAGCAAATTCACGCCCGTGAAAATGTTATTAAAAGTTGATGACTCCTTCACGCCTACGGCTAAAACCACTGAAAACAGGCAACATGTTCATCAATGCAAACCTCTGGAATGATAGATGATATGCTTAAGGCCTATCAAAAAGACAAAAAGACAAAAATCATACCGGGTCAAACTGTAAAACAGTTTCACAATCTTTATGTCTGGTTTTATTTACTACAGGTGTTGCAGGGTTCGATTGTACATAGGATTGTACATAGGATTATGCATTTGTTACACAGGAAAATATGATATAAAGTGAAACATAACAGTAACATTAATGTCCATGCAGTTTAAGCTAAAGGGTATACACATGTATGTACATGATTGTAAGTTTATAAAGATCTGTACTGACTTCAGTATATATACCAGGAAATTATCTTTGCAGTTTAACTTTAACCTTTACTGCACTCCACAATGAGAGTTAATTCAATCTAGGGAACATTTGTACACATCATACCCTAGCTATATAGTAAAAATTAAATGTCAAGGGCCAAATATACACTGGGTGCATTATTGCCAAAGACCTGTATAACGAATTTGTCATACTGCAAAGCCATTTATAGGTTGGGACTCGTGTTTGCCAGAAAACAGATACTTTGTAGGGCGGTAGTACAGGAAAACAGAAAAAACATTTTTTTGTATAATTCCAACAATTTAATAAATTTTTAAATTATAATAAGTCAACATTATATTGTTTTGAAACAACTTTAAATACATCTCTTTGTGTTTGTAGGTATAAGTTAGTGTAGCCCGTTTTGTCTCAATTTGGCTTGCAAACCGTTTCGCCATATTGTTGATTGTTAACATTAACAGACGAACGTTCTCCGGTGTGTTCGATTCGAATCTTCGAGTTATCTCCCTTACAACAGGTGCTTGTGCTCTTATGTACCCTGGCAAGGATACTAACATAGCTTCAGGTACCTTGGCAATTCGACCAATCACTGTGCGACATTTTTCTTTGCAGTATGACAAAATGATTTAGCCGGTGAAGGGTGAATATTTAACACAAGGTTCCTGGTATACATGTACAGTAGATACTCCACAGTCACATATCCTAATGGTCATAATATTATAACATTATACAGGTCGGTGAGGTCAATTCTTCATCACATGTTTGATTAAAGGTGTGAAAATAAAGTTCCTTATACTCATTTCAATAATATTCGCCATTACTTTGATGGATATGAGTCTAACGTCATGCTACCACAATCGGTACAATTTTGACAGTTTTTCAGTGATATTTAAAAATTCAGAACTTGTATTGGGAACGTTTCTTGATTCTTGACATTATTTTCTGAGAAAGTTTTGATTCTAAGTGATTTGTTTCGGAAAATACAAAAATGTAGAACGTTAAACCTGCAGTGAGCTTTTGTCTGTTTTTCGACCATGATTTAAGTACACAAATTGGTACACCATATCACAGGCTATGAAACTCGTTTTATTTCTATTAGTTGATGTGCCGATTGCACCAAATTATATTGCTTTTATAAATATCATACTGAACTACAATTGCATATATGCACTTTCATATTATCTGGTTATAAAAAAAATATAAATCAAAATTTAGACATGCTTATAATTAACCCCTTCAAACTCCTCCAATATTTCGTTGACTTGCGTCGTTTTTACTGGTTTTCTGATATTTTTACTTTGAGGACATTGTGTACTCTTAAAAGGTTCCAGAAAACAAAACTATTTAGTGGAAATGCTGATAAATATCTCTTTTGTTATACAGTGTCAGAGGAAAATGCTCAAATTTAATTTAAAAGTATTTAGAAAAACAAGTGGCCCATGGGCCTTAACGGTCACCTGAGTCCCGGTACATTTATACAGAGAGCTGATTTTTGTTTTTAAAACATGAACAGAAATATTATTCAAAGTGACAAAAAACAATAAAACACGAAATTGTACCTTATTCAATATCTAGGATAAAGATTTAAGACTGAAAAGTATTTGAAACTAGCACCTCTGATTTTAAACAAGGGGTCATAAAATTCACAATTTTGGTAGAGCATCTTAAAACCCTTCCAACTATGAAGGGTATTTGATTCCACCATATCTGGGTCTTGAGAAGAAGGTTTTGAAATTTCAGTCAATTCGACCTTTTTTGGCCCCGCCCATCAGCCCCTAGGGGTTTAGTCAGGGCTGATATGTACATACCATCAAACTGCTATCCAATACTGGTAATGCTAACCCAAATTGAATTACTTCAAATGTAAATTAAACAAATGTTGGTCAACTAGAACACTGACAGGTCAGTAAGGGCCCCGTCTTGTGGCAATATATCCCCCATAATCATCAAGAAGCAATCTGCCCATATACATGTAGCTGAGCTTGACGTTTGACATTTGGACTTCAAAAAGAATCACAAGGAAGCAAAATATACATTTTACATGTACTATGATGTGAGTCTTGTTTCCTTCCACCTCCATATTTGCTGGGCTAACAGAAATGTAAATACCGGTGCAATACTCATTTGTTAGCTTTGATTTGTTTTATTTCACCTTATTTACCTCCTCCATCAAGAGCCAGGGTCAAAGTCAGAGATCCACATTGTCTGTGACCTTTGGACCCAAAAGACCTTGACCATTAACCCAGTGACCCTGATCTTTGGTCAGTTAACTTATTCTTTAATTCCGACCAACTTTGCTTCTTAATATCATAACAAAATGTTCATCAGTGAAAAATACAAAACTTGACCTTCACCTTTGACCCAGTGAACTTGACCTTTGGTCGATTGACTCCTTGTTTAATTTTGAGCAACATTGCTTCAAAGTGTCATAGTGAAATGTTCACCAGTGAAAATATACATAATTTAACCCTGACCCCTGTCACGATCACCTTGACCTTTGGTCAGTTGACTCATTGTTTAATTCTGATCAACTTTGCTTCATAATGTCATAACAAAATGTTCATCAGTGAAAAGATGTAAAATTTGACCTTGACCTTTGAACCTAATGACCTTGACTTTTGTCCTTGACTTTTTACCTCAATGTGTATTTTTGTAACCTGAACATCTTGACCAAGTTTCATGTACATCGGTCAATAAATACCAAAGTTATCAGCCAGGAACAAAATTTGTGGACGGACAGACAGACAGACAGACAGACAAACAGACAGACAGATTACTATTACTATAGGGCACCCGTATCTCTGATACGGGGCCCTAAAAATGTGATTTCCCTATATAAACTATAGTAAAGTTTACTCCCTCCCCAGTGGGAAACGTGAAACCCCAGGGTCATGAAATTCACAATTTTGGTTTAGCACCATAAGACCCTTCCATCTATGAAGAGTATTTGATTCTAACATATCTGGATCTTGAGAAGACCTTTGGCAATGGAAGGTTTCTGCAAAGTTTCATTGACATTGCATTGGTTCAGGGGTTTTGGAGAAAAAGTCAAAAAAGTAAATTGTTTACGGACGCAAAACGCATGACGGATAACGGACGAATCAACATGTGATATTAATTGTAATCTGAGGTATAAGTTATTACACAGTTTTAGTTCATGTCAAAAGAGACTTTAAAAGGAAATGAAAGAAAGAGAATACTTATTATTTCAATTTTATTGTTTATTTATCTCCTTATAATAAGATTGGTTCTATTACTCACCAGCTAACAGTAAAGTGATTCCTAGAGCGAAGAAGTCTGGATAGGAGGAAAAGCCGGGAATATTCATCGGCATGTGTTCCTTGAAAAACGTCTGGATGACTTTGTTGATGAGTGAGTCGAAGTAGGAGCTCCAGGCCCTTGCTACACTGGCTGTACCTGTATTGTAATATAATGCTTTCAGCCACAATCACACCGGAATACCCTCTAACACGATCACACCAGAATACCCTCCAACACAATCATACCAGAATACCCTCTAACACAATCACACCAGAATACCCTCTAACACAATCACACCAGAATACCCTCCAATACAAACACACCAGAATACTCTTTGCTGCACTACATACAGCAGCAATAACAATAGTGAAGGGTGTAAACCTTCCTGTGATATCACCCACACACTGCTGCAATATCAAACTGGTTACTTGAGGTGAGGTAAATGTTTTGATTTCCAGATTAAGAAAATATCTTAGTTTTGAGTTTTTTATACTGACCTATGACATACTCCAAAATGAGGTTCCAGCCAATGACGAATGCCAGGAACTCTCCCACAGTCACATAGCTGTACACATACGCCGAACCGGTCTTTGGTACACGTGCACCAAACTCTGCATAGCACAAACCTGGAAGATAAATTAAACAGCAATATATAAATATTAATCAAATCTTACTCAAAAAAGTTCTGTTTTACAAAAAGTTGTGAAAATCTTTGCTTGCATGGTCTACTTTTGATGATCCCTGATGCTTCTTTGTCATTTTCTGTAAACAAATCTATATTTGTAATAGAAAAGTGTCTAGGGTTTTCAAAACAAACATTTAAATGTATGCAAACTGCAAACATTTCTGATCTCAAAATTGTATGCCAAGCATTTTTTCCAACTCTAAAACTTTGCTAAACTTTAACAGAGATTCAGAGGATGTAAAAATATTTCATTGAAAAAGATAGAAAATAAAATGATATTGGATTTAATGGCTAAGTTTAACAATGTGATAGTTAGATTGTTAAAATGTTACATTGTTCAATTCCTATTTAACCTGTTTTATCATATTACATGTTAGATTATCATATTACATGTTAGCTTATCTTACTACATGTTAGAACATTATATTACCTGTTAGACTAAATTGCATTTCAGATTTGTATAATTACCTGTTAGAATGTTATATTACCTGTTTTGTTAATCATATATATATCCTATTAAGATGTTACATTACCTGTTAGAATGTTGTATTACCTGTTAGACAATCATATTACCTGTTAAGATGTTACATTACCTACTAGAATGTTGTATTATCTGTTAGATAATTATATTACCTGTTGATTATTATATTACCTGTTAGGACGTTATATTACCTGTTAGATTAGTACATTATCTGTTAGATAATCATATTACCTGTTAAGATGTTACATTACCTACTAGAATGTTGTATTACCTGTTAGATAATCATATTACCTGTTAGGATGTTATATTACCTGTTAGATAATCATATTACCTGTTAGAACATTATATTACCTGTTAGATAATCATATTACCTGTTAAGACGTTATGTTACCTGTAAGCTTATTATATTACCTGGAGGAATGTTATGTCACCTGTTAGATAATAATAACACATCTCAGGTTGTTATATTACCTGTTAGATTATCATACTAGATGTTTTATTGTTATATTACCTGCCAGAACTGATGCCAGGGCTGCAATTAGAAAGGAAATGGTGACAGCTGGTCCTGCCTTCTCCTTAGCAACCTGGCCGGCAACCACGTAGATACCAGCTCCCAGAGTACTGCCAATACCTGTCCATTGATAAATAATTCAAAGTCTAAATGAAAAACAACAAAACAAAACAGTTTAAGTAAATGAAAATCTCTGAACACACCTTAAAAAATGATTCTGAATCTTAACTGGATTATCGTTACAAGTAAAATTTCTCCACTTGATTCCTGCATACGCTTGTTAACATCACCTTTAGACTAGCACAGTGTCCGTTACTAGTAAATCTGTCAAGTCGAGCGTGGTAAGACATCGAGCTAGCTTAATTAGTGTTATATAAATACCTAAAGCGGTCAAATCCAGTGTGGTGAGACATCAGGCTAGCTTGGTGTTATATAAATATACCTAAAGCGGTCAAGTCCAGTGTGGTGAGACATCAGGCTAGCTTGGTTATATAAATACCTAAAGTGGTCAAGGCCAGTGTGTTGAGACATCAGGCTAGCTTGGTGTTATATAAATACCTAAAGCAGTCAAATCCAGTGTTGTGAGACATCAGGCTAGCTTGGTGTTATATAAATACCTAAAGCGTTCAAGTCCAGCTTGGTGAGACATCACGCTAGCTTGGTGTTATATAAATACCTAAAGCAGTCAAGTCCAGTGTTGTGAGACATTAGGCTAGCTTGGTGTTATATAAATACCTAAAGCGGTCAAGTCGAACGTGGTGAGACAAAAGGCTACCTTGGTGTTATATAAATACCTAAAGCGGTCAAGTCCAGCGTGGTGAGACATTATAAATACCTAAAGCGGTCAAGTCGAACGTGGTGAGACATTAGGCTAGCTTGGTGTTATATAAATACCTAAAGCAGTCAAGTCAAACGTGGTGAGACATCAGGCTAGCTTGGTGTTATATAAATACCTAAAGCAGTCAAGTCCGGTGTGGTGAGACATCAGGCTAGCTTGGTGTTATATAAATACCTAAAGCGGTCAAGTCCAGTGTGGTGAGACATCAGGCTAGCTTGGTGTTATATAAATACCTAAAGCGGTCAAGTCCAGTGTGGTGAGACATCAGGCTAGCTTGGTGTTATATAAATACCTAAAGCGGTCAAGTCCAGTGTGGTGAGACATCAGGCTAGCTTGGTGTTATATAAATACCTAAAGCGGTCAAGTCCAGTGTGGTGAGACATCAGGCTAGCTTGGTGTTATATAAATACCTAAAGCGGTCAAGTCCAGTGTGGTGAGACATCAGGCTAGCTTGGTGTTATATAAATACCTAAAGCGGTCAAGTCCAGTGTGGTGAGACATCAGGCTAGCTTGGTGTTATATAAATACCTAAAGCGGTCAAGTCCAGTGTGGTGAGACATCAGGCTAGCTTGGTGTTATATAAATACCTAAAGCGGTCAAGTCCAGTGTGGTGAGACATCAGGCTAGCTTGGTGTTATATAAATACCTAAAGCGGTCAAGTCCAGTGTGGTGAGACATCAGGCTAGCTTGGTGTTATATAAATACCTAAAGCGGTCAAGTCCAGTGTGGTGAGACATCAGGCTAGCTTGGTGTTATATAAATACCTAAAGCGGTCAAGTCCAGTGTGGTGAGACATCAGGCTAGCTTGGTGTTATATAAATACCTAAAGCGGTCAAGTCCAGTGTGGTGAGACATCAGGCTAGCTTGGTGTTATATAAATACCTAAAGCGGTCAAGTCCAGTGTGGTGAGACATCAGGCTAGCTTGGTGTTATATAAATACCTAAAGCGGTCAAGTCCAGTGTGGTGAGACATCAGGCTAGCTTGGTGTTATATAAATACCTAAAGCGGTCAAGTCCAGTGTGGTGAGACATCAGGCTAGCTTGGTGTTATATAAATACCTAAAGCGGTCAAGTCCAGTGTGGTGAGACATCAGGCTAGCTTGGTGTTATATAAATACCTAAAGCGGTCAAGTCCAGTGTGGTGAGACATCAGGCTAGCTTGGTGTTATATAAATACCTAAAGCGGTCAAGTCCAGTGTGGTGAGACATCAGGCTAGCTTGGTGTTATATAAATACCTAAAGCGGTCAAGTCCAGTGTGGTGAGACATCAGGCTAGCTTGGTGTTATATAAATACCTAAAGCGGTCAAGTCCAGTGTGGTGAGACATCAGGCTAGCTTGGTGTTATATAAATACCTAAAGCGGTCAAGTCCAGTGTGGTGAGACATCAGGCTAGCTTGGTGTTATATAAATACCTAAAGCGGTCAAGGCCAGTGTTGTGAGACATCAGGCTAGCTTGGTGTTATATAAATACCTACAGCGGTCAAGTCCAGTGTGTTGAGACATCAGGCTAGCTTGGTGTTATATAAATACCTAAAGCGGTCAAGTCGAACGTGGTGAGACATAAGGCTACCTTGGTGTTATATAAATACCTAAAGCGGTCAAGTCGAACGTGGTGAGACATCGGGCTAGCTTGGTGTTATATAAATACCTAAAGCGGTCAAGTCGAACGTGGTGAGACATCGGGCTAGCTTGGTGTTTGTTACAGATGACAAATCCACAAATTTCCTTCTCAAAAGCTTTTGTCTGAAACTGCTCATCCTGTCTTTGGTTTAAAGCTCTTCTGTAAAACCTGAAAAGTTTGTTGACACCGTTTTATAGGTCAAAGTACTTAAATACTCAGGATATAAAAACATAAACGTTTTTTTATGATTATTCATGGAATATCAAATGCTATAACAAAAATCTGTATGTGATAGACTCGGGTGAACAATATGAAGAATGTTCAACAGTTTAGTCAAGTTAAGAGAAAAATGAAATATTTCAAATAATTATATCAATATTGAATACTAATGCTTAATATCAATATTGAATACTAATGTTTAATATCAATATTGAATACTAATGTTTAATATCAATATTGCATATTAATGTTTAATATCAATATTGAATACTTATGTTTAATATCAATATTGAATACTAATGCTTAATCTCAATATTGAATACTAATGTTTTATATCAATATGGAATACTAATGCTTAATAACAATATTGAATACTAAAGTTTAATATCAATATTGAATACTAATGTTTAATATCAATATTGCATATTAATGTTTAATATCAATATTGAATATCAATGTTTAATATCAATATTGAATACTTATGTTTAATATCAATATTGAATACTAATGCTTAATCTCAATATTGAATACTAATGTTTTATATCAATATTGAATACTAATGCTTAATATCAATATTGAATATTAATGTTTAATATCAATACTGAATACCAATGTTTAATATCAGTATTGAATACTAATGTTTAATATCAATATTGAATACTGATGTTTAATATCAATACTGAATATTAATGTTTAATATCAATACTGAATACTAATGTTTAATATCAGTATTGAATACTAATGTTTAATATCAATACTGAATATTAATGTTTAATATCAATACTGAATACTAATGTTTAATATCAATACTGAATACTAATGTTTAATATCAATACTGATTTAGTCTTATGTTTAATATCAATATTGAATACTAATGTTTAATATCAATACTGATTTAGTCTTATGTTTAATATCAATACTGATTTATACTTATGTTTTATATCAATACTGAAAACTAATGTTTAATATCAATACTGAATACTTATGTTTAATATCATGTGTATCATTAAAATACCATAAACATTTTCATATATTACAGTAAATCAAGCAATGTTTGAAACTTCAAATAAAATCAAATTCAAATTCACATTAACTTACCTCTTTAGTAAATTAAACTTATGATGTCTGAATCAAATAAATACAAATTTCTATCTGATGTAAACACTTCAGTTTCTTCAACAATGTGTCAGTTTTGTCCTCCCGGGTCGCTCTCGTTAGTTCCTGTCCCCCCGGGACGTTCTCGTTAGTTTGATCCTGTCCTATCGGGCCAATCTCATCAGTTCCTGTTCTACTGGGCCAATCTTGTAAGTTCCTGTCCTCTCGTGATGATCTCGTAATTTTGTCAAGTGATGCACCACTATAAAGTGATGCAATCAAGTTGCTGACCTCCTGGGTCGATCTTGTTAGTTCCTGTCCTTCTGGGCCAATCTCGTTAGTTCTTGTCCTCTCGGGGCCGATCTCATCAGAGGTCCTGGTAATGTGACAGATGGGAAACAGTAAATTAGTTCTTAAAGGGAGATAATTTTGTCAAGTGATGCACCACTATAAAATGATGCAATCAAGTTGCTGACCTCCTGGGTCGATCTCGTTAGTTCCTGTCCTTCTGGGCCAATCTCGTTAGTTCTTGTCCTCTCGGGGCCGATCTCATCAGAGGTCCTGGTAATGTGACAGATGGGAAACAGTAAATTAGTTATTAAAGGGAGATAGTTTTGTCAAGTGATGCACCACTATAAAGTGATACAATCAAAATGCTGGGACCAATCTCGTTAGTTCCTGTCCTCTCGGGGCCGATCTCATCAGAGGTCCTGGTAATGTGACAGATGGGAAACAGTAAATTAGTTCTTAAAGGGAGATAATTTTGTCAAGTGATGCACCACTATAAAGTGATGCAATCAAAATAGGTCAAATGGGGTCAAATCAAGAGAAGACTGTGATATGTACACAACACTGTTATATTACTATACAGAGTATAAGCCACAAGAAGATTATGTCAAATTAAATTAAATAACTGTTAGATTAAAAGATTAAGTTCATGATTTCTACTCTACTTAAAATCTTTATAAAATATTCCCCATTCAAGTAAGTGGTAAAATAAAGCAACATTTGAACTTTTCTACTTTTCCCACTTTTTTCCCCAACAATCAGTAGTTGATCAAGATTGGTTAACTTATTACTGATCAGGCATACAGTGACAGTAGTGAGTTCAGGACAGGACAATCTATAAGGATAGAACCGATAGTTTTTTTCACTCTACTTACTGAAAGCTATAGGGACCTGATAGTTTGGTCAGATTTCCACTTTAATAACTGAACGCAAGGAAACAGATATAGTTTTATGATATTTCAATGCCAAAAGTATAGGAGTACTCAACATATTGTTGTCCTTTTGAGTTTCTGGAAAATGTAAACATAGAAATAAATATCACAGACATACAGTAGTTCATATTCCTTAAAAAAGCATGATCTGAAAGTGTGACAATATCATGTAAACAAAATGGCATACCCAGGTATTGTCTAGCCATCAAGTACACTAATGTACCCTCAGTCACCTGACTGTTATCACCAATACAGACTGTGACTGATAGGGACCGGTGATGGTCATGCAGGGCGCAGGTTTCTAATCTTACAGTATATAATGACCTAACTGTGTACTGATACAGAAGGCTGACTTCTATCACAGTTCGTCCAACACCTACGTTTATGTATAGGAACTCACCAGGTGTTATATTGATAATAGATCAAATATGTGCAGTGACGTTACTGATAATTAAATTTCAACTGTGATTTGACATGTCTTGGTGGATTTCTGCAAGAAATTATCAAAATAAATTATATCTCAGCACTTTAAAAATGAATTTTAAGTAAAATACAACATTAATGTATAAATCTACAAGAAACCAAAATTGAAGATCCTATATATCTCGCCATATAAAAAGGTATCAGATTCCGTTAAGGAAAGTGTTGTCTACTGAAGCTTACTCTTGTACAAACTAAACTATAGAATAAAGTCATGCCACATTCCTTCAATTGACTGAAAGTAAGAAAACATTTCTTTCTGTTAAAAAGAACAAATATTACGAAATTTACTCCTTGAAGTGTACATATATTGATTTGGGACAGTATTAATGACACGTACAGAAACACATGAAACATAGGAAAACTTTTGTTTGACCAAAAACTTTTGTTTGACCCTTACACATACGTGGCCTGTCTGGGCCTGGAACACACAACCTACCGCACCAATTCAATTGTCTAGCCTACAAATATCCCCAGCTCCTACCACTACTCCACCTCACCTTCAAAAAGAAGGTTTCGATGTTTCATATTGGTGAGCCGCTCTCTATTCTCAATATGGTCATTGTGACTAAATCGTCAAATGATGATACGAGCTAGTACCTAGATTACAACGAATAGATATTGTAACGTGAGGGCGGTCATGCAATCACCTAACAACTGACCATGAACGCTCAATGTTTCTGAACTAATGAGCGGGTCCCTGGATATACATTGTATAACGCATCGCTGTAAAAGCTAGCTTGCTAGTAAGGCAGTATTTTCCCCCTTAGATTCCAATTAGCTGTTAAACTATCCCCCCCCCCCCCCTTGTGTATCAATAAACCTTCCCTAACCACCAGGAACTGGCCTTACATAATAACACTGAGACACTATGTATACGCTGCCACCCAATGTAACATGCGGGCAGTCACCGATCCCACTTCACTGACCACGTTCGACGTTGCTGAACTAGTAAGCGGGTCTCTGGGTTAAACGCCATCACTGGAAAAGCTATAGCTTAATGCTAGTAATTTAAGGCATTTATTTTCCCCTAAGATTTCTTAGCTGTAACAATATATACAAATGTTACAAACATCACTGCCTATCTCACACGGAACAATTACCACAGGTAGTTCATATATATGTAATCTTCAGGCAAGGAATTTTTTCAGGAGACCTGCTCAAATGACTAACCATTAGTGCCTTTGACAAATTTTGTTCTTACCCTGATAAATACCAATCAATTCAGGCAAGCACTATCCTACATCTCAGCATAAAGCACTCATGTAACCTATAGCCTGGGAATAAACAGGCGCTACATGCAGCTATTTACAGGAGCAGCTGTTCCATCAATAAACAGGACAATTAATACATACATGTATATATAGGTATTTGTTGTGACATATGTTGAAACATTATTAACAACAGGGAAATAGGTACATTACTACTAGAACATGTTTGTAAGATATGCAAGAATGTCCCCTGTTTCTGCTTTGATGTAAAACGATTAAAATTTGATGTTGTGGGGACAAAATAATTCCTGTCAGATTTAGTAGTAATTAAACTCTTGTAACCTATACTACTCTAGAATATATCATGTTACTTTCTGTGTAAACTGTTTTATGTTTCAAACTAGCACCAGAATTGTAACACATGTAAACAACCAGTAGGCCTATAAGTACCTTTATACCTATACACTGGATATTTTTCCTGAAGACTGTATACATTTTTATTTGACTGTAATAGATAAATCCTATTACATGTATTATCTGTTAATTTAATCTTAATTTTTTTCTTATGTTTATGTATATAACATCTTGATAAGGTAATATAAGGTAATAAGTTCATAAATTAAAAACTTATTTTTTTAAATAAACTATATATAAACAGCTTTACGATTGAGGATGGGCTCACATTCCTGTAGTAATTTGACACCGAACTGATTATTATGTTGTCAGTTATTTTGTCTTTGTAATTCAATTTAAACTTTATTAAAAAACTATTGAGACAGCACATAAATACTAAGTACAAATATTAATACCCGGCCTCCTCTGAAGACGAAATATATATTAAAAGAAATCTCCTCGTCAGGGGGCTACGTTCTCGCAGCTAATATTTACTAATATTATAATATGACTGAACTATATATACACTTGCCTTTTAAACTTATACGGCAATTACATATGCACGGTGTATCATATAATAATCTTATGGTCACACACACACATGCTGATTGTTGATATATCACGTTTCAAACTAACCTAGAAACAGACGCATTCTATAAATAGTACACAACGTTGGTTTTCATAACTGTGCAACGGTATTCTGTAAATGTTAACGGTACTTATAAATCTTACCTATTACAGCATGTACGGGATAAAGACACTGTTTGTCGATGTAGTCTGGTGCGTGTTACATCCGGTTGTTTATCCACGTTGACAGGTCTACCATTTTGTACACTGTATAGTTTGCAATGTACAACTCATATGATCCGTATCATGTGATAACATGGCGGTCACGTGATACAGTCATAATTGCACTTGGCCATTCGAACCACTCGGTAGTGAAGCGGACGTAAAACCTATCAATCAATCATAGCAGTAGCGGAAAGATCTATATATTATATCCTGTGGAGTGCGTTAGCGCTTCTCAGAACATTGCTGCAATGTACGCGAAAAAAAATCACCCAATTCATATATTTACGGTACGATAAATTACAATAAAAAAAAGTTACAACACTTTTTGTAAATTTAATATTTTTAATATTTGTATCGGACAGAAAACCATGAAAGGAACAGCCAGAACTCCAGCCTACACACAATCTTCACATATTTGACTTCCTCCGATCAGCTGATTTTGTTGAAACGACACTTGATATTCCTTTCATTTTTGAAAGTTGATATTATTTGATGTTTTTTCGCATTAAACAACGCATGTTATATATATTTAAAAAAGTTAATGTTCGCACTATTTCAAATCATCGGTCACCATAGTAACCATCCAGGACGCCCGTCGTTAGTAGGTATAGAGCTCATTTGAGGTTAAATGTAGAGCCTTTGAATTAGTCCGAATTATTCTGACGTTTTATCGACTTTTTTCATATCGGTCTGTCGTTAATCGACGACAGACCGATATGAAAAAAGTTGATAAAACGTCAGAATAATTCGGACTATACCTTTGAATATGCTGTTTGCAAAATAAAACCCTGCATATGTTAATGATGATTATAAGTTGATGGATGAAGTGCCCTAGCTGTGTCATTACAAAGTGCTCTGGGTTTAATGTGGAAGTCAATGTGTAAGTTAATAACGTCTGCAGATTTTAGACAAAAACATAACACGCCAAACTACAGTTACACCATCCTGAATAATATACATTTAACAAATGAAGGGGTCACAAAACTACTGAAAAATCTTAACCCAACAAAAGCAGCAGGCCCACACAATATAAAACAGAAATTCTTGAAGGAAATGGCTGTTGAAGTATCACCAATCTTGATCAGCTTACTTTCAATCATTCTATCGAATCTGGTACTGTGCCCAATGATTGGAAAATCACACATGTTTCCCATATGTCAGACAGTTGGTCTGTGTAGTGATGTACCTATATACCATCTGGTCAGACAGATGTTCTGTGTAGTGATTTCCCCGTATACCATCTAGTCAGACAGTTGATCTGTATACTGAT